ATTTACAGCAAGTCATGGTTGACATGCAGTTCTTGGAGCAAGGGCAAATATAGCACCGGTTTACTAGCCATTTTCAGAGAAAAAAAAGCTCTAAAATTAAATCTATATATTAAAATTCAATATATTATAAATTTAAAAAATAAATATGGATAAATAATTGAAAAACAAGTTTTAAAGGAATCCACAAAAACGTACCAGTGACGAGAGAGAGGCCAGGCAGCAAGGTGAAACCTTAACCAAAAGTGTTACGTCAGCACTCGCGACGCGGTTTTGTGGCACGCCGACAATTTTTAAATTTTTTTTTTCACAATCTCCTGCTGCCATCGAAGTTCAAATATGGTTTAAAATGTCAATCCGCTGAATAAGTACAGCTATGAAAATGATTTTTTTTTTTTGCATTTTTAAAATTCTCATTTTAGATTTTTGAAAATTGAAATGAGCTTCGGAGGCTCGGCGCTAGTAAATAAGGGTTAAAAGTTTTACAATGAGACGAAAATTCCGCACCAACTTTCTTCAATTTTTGTCCATCCTGGACCCAATTTAACCCTTTAAGCGCCGAGGTAACGATCCATCGTTACCCTATAACGTCACCAGGAGCGCCGGGGTACCGGTCTATCGTTACTTCCTTGTAGGGCCCCTCGTGGGGGTGGTGGCTGGCTATTTTTATCACCTCCCTTCTCACTTCTGGGCTTGTCTCTACACGTTAGCTGTGTTTTTATCTCCTTTGTCTTGCGATTTCCTTTTTTTTATTTTTAATTTTTTAAAAATGGCTTCCGGTTCAGAATGCTCTTCATTTTCTGAGGACACTGAAGTTTATTCTTTGTCTTCTGAGTTTGAAGAAAGTGTTGAAGACACTTTTGAAGATGAATTTTCTGATGAAGAAGTGGATGAAAACCAGCCAAGTCCTTAGGTAAGAGTTTATACTCCATTTCCCACATCCAAAACATTAACTTTTGGAGAAGTTTGTGGCCCACAGCACCTTCCCCCCTCTATAATCCGGCCTATTGAATACTTTTTGTTATTCATAACAATGAATTTGATGAAGGAAATTGTGGCTTTTACCAATAAATGTGCCCAAACTTTATTGGCAAGCAATAGGGACAAATTGCCTCCATTTTCTAGGAAGCTGGCCTGGAAGGACACTACCTTAGATGAGATGATGGCCTTTATTGGAGTCATCTTCAATATGGGCAATGTGAAGAAGAACCAAATCAGGGACTATTGGAGCAAGAATGAACTTTTAGAGACGCCCTGGTTTGGTAAAGTTATGTCTAGAGGGAGATTTGAGTTGCTCTACAGCTGCTTTTCTCTGATTGATGACTCCAACCTGGTTCCAAGTTCTCATCCTGATTACAACCCAGCTGCAAGATTTGAGAAGCTCATAGAGCATGTGAACAACAAGTTTATATATTATTATAAGCCTACTCAATGATGAGAGCTTGGTGTGCCTAAAAAACCGAACTCGTATTAGACAATATATGCCCCAAAAGCACCATGGTCGATTTGGAGTCAAACTGTGGATGCTTTGTGAATCTAAAACTGACTATTGTCTGAGAATGAAGCCATATAAAGGGAAATTATCTCCAATTATCAAGTCCCTTTCCTATGATGTTCCAATGAATCTGCTCCAGGAATCCAGTCTACTTGGAAAAGGTTATCATTTGATAACTGATAACTTTTTCACCAGCATCAACCTAGCCAAGGACTTACTGGACAGTCATACTTATTTGACTGGTACTATAAAAAGTAATAGGAAGGGACTTCCTAAAACCTTAACAAGTGCAAAATTAGGTGTTGATGAATCCCTTTATATGGTAAATAATAATCTACTGGCCCTGGCTTACAAAGAAAAGAAGAGCAAACCTCCAGTGAAGTTTCTCTCAACATTTTGTGATGCTTCTTCTGGCAAAAAGAAGGTGTCAGACCAAAGAGACTACCCACAGATGAAAATCTGCTATGATAGCTACATGGGAGGGGTAGATCTCAATGATCAAATGTTGTATACATATATGGATGAAAGAAAAGGAAGAAAATTTTATAGAAAGGTGATCCTCAACATTTTCCACAGGGCTCTCCTAAACTCCTTCATCCTATATGAACAGCATACTAAAGACAACCCCAAGCTTTCTAGAAGGACTTTTAACTATTCAGTAATAAATGAATTAGTTAGAAATCACTTGAAACCTCCAGTTCTGCCTTCAACAACCAAGGAAATACTCGAAAAACTTCCAGAAAAGAGAGAGAGTAGATGTGTGGAGTGTACAAAAGAAGGCCTGAAGCGGAGGTCTAGAACCATATGTTCAAAGTGCAAGAGAGGCTTGCATCCAGTCTGTGCTTTTAAACACAAGTGTTAGCTTTGTAAATAGCCTTGTATATATCTAAAATTCCTTTTTATATTTGTGAAACCTTATTTTGAAAAATTCAAGTCGTTATTCAATTAATTATAATTAACCCCCAATTAAAAATTTAAATACTCATTTCAGTATAATAAAATCAGAGTGTTGTGTTGAGAGAGGAGTCTGGATTATGTTGCACTTTACAGAGCACTTCTATCTATCATATTTATTTATTTTTTTATAACATTTTTAACTTAACAACTACTTGATCATCAGTTTAGGCTTAATTAGTGTGGTCCTGATAGTGATAGTTAGCATTCGGGCCCTAGAGCTTAAAGGGTTAAACCTAACTGGTGCCTGCTTGTTACTGGAATAAAGAAAGAGTTGTTTTATAAAGTAACACTTTGTTATTTGAAATAAAATACAGGAAAGACATGAATGTCTAAGAAGATTGAGCAGTTAGAATGTTAACTAAATAAATAGGGTGCTAGCTGAACGATAAACAAACACTAAATTTTCTTTTAAAAGATAAAATTTTAAATAATTTTTTTTTTTTTTTTCTAAAACTTTATTCACTTTCTTCCTGTTTAATTTATTCACCTATATCAAAATAGTATTCGTAATTTTTCCTTTGTTCCAAAATTTACTAAGGCACTTTTATCCATTATGTTAAAAGGCAAAATGAAAGGACATTGTAATAAACAACCCAAATTACGCCACACTTTCCAAGAGGTTAAAGTTAATTTCTGTTAATTAAATGTTTCGATATTTATGTACAAAGATTTCAATGTTAACACCTTTAATTAGTTTACAAAATTTTATATTGCCTAAAATAATATATTTTCAAAATAATATATTCAATTTATAATTGGCAAAATATCACAAATATATAAAATCCATAACTGCCCTTTTTAATTTTGTAATGTTAAAAATTTATTGTCAAACTTTCTATGATAAAATCGATTTAGTTAATCGCCATTGGGTTTGTTTATAAAAATTTGATCCAAAATGTACAAGTAAATTTTATACATAAAATTATTAAACAAAAATTCAATTTTAAAATAGATAAAAATTATAAAAAACGGGGAAAATATATATAAATATAAATACTAATATCTTACCTAAATGTACTTGATGGCAAACCAAAAGTAAAATAATTACAATGTAGTACACCGCAGCACGCAGACACCTATCTCCATCTATCATCACATTTTGTAACTATTTATAAATTATTGTTTATGTTACTTTTTTTTTAAAGTCGATAGTGTTCCTCAATTCGTTGTACAATTTCATATTGAAATTTAATATTTAATCAAAGCTTAATAATATATCACATTTAATTTTCAAAATTTGTTAGAAACCTTTGTGTATTTAATTAGAAATCATATTTTATGGCTGTAATTTATGGTAGCAAAAAAAGGGTCAATGGTATATATATCAAGCAATCTTTAAAACTAGTGAATAATTATTTTTCAAACTTAACACACAAAATTTAAAATATATTTTCATAATATTAACATAATACATAAATAAATAAATAAAGTTTATTTAGGTTTTAACATGTTTAGAAAACACCTAATCAAGATTTTAAGAAAAATTTTGAAGTAATTCTATTAAAAAATATATATAAAAAGAAATATAAAATAAACTTACTTGTTACATCAAATTTCACAATAACAAAAATAGAAAGTTATCTAGACAGGAAGAGAAACGAGGACTAGTACTGCCATCTATCAATTAATTTTGAAACTATTTATAGTCTAAATTTCCCCTGAGTTTAGCAGATATAATTTAAACCAGAAAGTGAGTTTCTAAAGTTGTATTCACTAAATATTTTTGATGAATGTTGCCTTTTTTATATTTTAATAATGTATTTTATTAAATACTAGCCGAATGTCCTGGGCAACGCCCAGGTTTACCCTATTAAATGTACCCTATTCAAATACTATTCGTTACAATTATAAATTGGCGCCCGTGGATGTCCTCTTGTGAAACGTCCCGCTCCAAACTTTGTGTCTGAGAAGCGATATTTTTATAGAAAGATGATCTGGCTTTTGTTTTCTGCTCGAATGAATGTTTTTCTGTTAGAATTTTGTTCCTGCATACAAAATAATGAAATGTTTTCACCCATGGTCTCTGCTTTTTGGAATTTTTCCCGATATAATTTTGTATCTGATAAACATGATACAGCAATATCGTCATCATCATTTTCTGACTAAAAATATATAGTTTTAATAATTGATTTATATATTTTTTAAAATAGCCTATCGTCTTCCCCGTATTCTTTTACCTATGTATGGAAATTTTGGTTTGAATTAGTGAACTACTGCGAATTTGTATACCGGACATACAGACAGACAAACATACAAACATTCATTTTTATATATATAGAGATATTATTATTTTCTCAAAGTATGTCTTATAAAGCAAATGTAAATTATTTATGAGCTCTATAAGAATCTAAACACTTCTGGACTTTTATTACAGCAATATAAACTTATAGGAAAGACTTATGTGGTAAGTCCTCCCATCCAGATTCTACCAGACTATTGTATCAGGTTGTTGGGTTCAAAGGTAATTGGAGGCCGCTCACTGCTGCGCCAACTGGCCACGGGGAGGGCAAGCTTCTTGTTGCCCCACCAGCGGGGACAGAATGCTGGATCTGTTATGATTCCCAGCGCACTGACGCAGGGCCTTTGATACAGCCATGCCGGTGCAGAGGTGATGTGGGCGCTGTCCATCATGATTGCCTGCGCAAGTGGCTGGTGCAGTCCCTGCGTGCTCGCTGCGCGGTGTGTGGGGAGAACTACCAGCTGGCTGGCACCAAGTGGAGGCCAGCCCCAGCTCCGTGGTTGCGTGCGGTGGCCGTGGTGTTGGTGACGTCAGCCACAGTGGGGGGCTGCGGCCTGGCGCTGAGATTGCTGCCCAGCCCTGGGCTGAGAGTGTTGGCTCTGGGCCTGGCCATGGTGTCTCTGCATCTGGGCCTGAGGCTGCTGGGCTTCAGCCTGCTGTCTGCCCTGCGCCGCTCGCGCCTCGCCTCAGTCCGCATCCTGCACCGCCCGCCCTCCACGACCATCTTGGACCCTACTGCTCCAGCTGCTCCAATGGGGGAACACCTGGCCCTCACAGGAACTTCTGGAGCCCACCCCTGCCCCTCCACTCTCTAGCAACCTTAGCTCCTGCCTGCATGGACCAGAGACTGAACAGAGCTTGGGTTCACCCCAGGCCATGTTCACAAGTGTGTGTTTGTCTCTTCACATGCCTATTGAAACAGCACATCTTTCTTGCTAAAAGGAACTCTTTAGGACATGTGTCACCCCTGTGTATGCCTCCCAAGGCACTGCGCTGTCTGACTTGTGTAGCTAAAACCTTTGTCCTGACATTTCTAAATACAGGAATACCTCGCTCAATCAAACCAGGGGTATAGCCAAATTCCCTTATAACGAACCTGAAATAATCCTTAATATTTGAGATACCATATAGTGGACCATGACTATAGTGAACCATGACTATAATGAAACAAAAGTTCACTATATAGCAAGGTTTTACTGTATCTCACTTGAATCCAAAAATCAAAATTTGTTCTATATATATATATATTTGCATATAACTCTTCATTAATATATTTCCCTATTTACATATATGTCCCAATTTACACATCTACAGGATGTGTGACCAGCAACATGCGAATTGCCATGTAATGTCAACTGTAGCTGACACTCTTCAAAGTCTCAACGCACATTCCTTTGTCATTTATTGTTGCAAGATTGCAACTTCTTTTGCTCCTTTTTTTTTTTTCATTGTAAGGAGTGGATGTGTGTGAATTTACTATTTGTTCACATAAATCTATTTGTAAATTTTATTACACACTGATTATTGCCAAATTTATATAAAGAAAGAGATATCCATTTGGCTGGATTCAGTAAACGAGACGTTTGTTAATCATCTAATGCGGCTGAATATGTTATCTTGAGTGAAAGGATTCCTAGATGGCTCTCTCCGCAATGTAAATATGTAAATTGAGGGGAAATAAGGTATTTTTGGGAAGTGCACAATAACAAACTTTTGGTATAACATCAACTTTCTTTTTTTTTATTACAGATCAATTTCAAAATTTTGAAACTTTGGGATTTATTAAAAGACATCTGAATGAACCAGAAGTTGCTGATGGCTTGAGCTATGGGAATAAAATCAATGATTAGTTGATATTCATTTTGACTGATTGCACAAGCCATCAGCAACTTTTAGTTGCACGATCAGGAGATGTCTTAATTTATCCAATTAATCCCAGTACAATTTCACTTTTGTACTAATTTTTTCCATATAATTTGGGATTTATATTTCTGAATTTTGTTGATAAAGTATTGTTATAGAGTTGTGTTAAATTCTCTCTATAAATTTTATTGCTATGCATTTTTTTTTTCATTATTAATTTTTGTTTTGCTTTGTGTTCCAAAAAAAAAAACTATTTGACCAAATAATTATTTGTAAACTTCCCCAGGGAGTGTATCACAAGGTGTGTGAAGCCTAGAAAAGTCAAATATCAAACTGACCAATGAAATGCTTGATAAGTTCTGTGTCCTTTGACATGGTTCCTTGAGTGCTGATTGGCCATTTTTTTTCAGGACTGAGGGAATGCTTAGCAATAAACATTCATATTTAATTGAGAGTTCATTTTGAATTCTCACTATGTAGAATTTTTTTTATAGAATATCAATCTACATTAGAAACTCCATGAGAGGACATTCATGCTAGGACACTTCTCTATAAAGGACAGTTTTTATTTGCAAATTTACCATTTTTACTATTTAGCAACTCTCCAGTAAAAGTACACCTCTCCTTAAAGGACACTTGGGCTCTGCAATTAGGTGTCCTTTACAGTGAGATAGTTATACTGTATATGTAAGAAAATAAATTTTGAACTTGAAATTATTATTCAGTGATGTGTTGATATAGGATGGGTAGGTACAATTTGGATTATAGATTAGAAACATAAGGTAATACCACCCAATCTAAATAAATAGTGTGTGACATTTCAATAACAACACTGAATTAATTAAAACATTGTTACCGAAATGTCACTCACTATTTATTTATTTGGATTTGGTCTTATTACCTTGTGAATATCAAGAGGAGAAATTTTTTCAGCATTTTCATTCAACCTAGTTTTACCCTTGAACCTCCCATAGGAGACAGCCTTAAAAATAAGACTGTTCTCACATGCCTCCCCCACAGATGGCTCAGGGTAGCTTATAGTGTTTAGCACTTAGTGTTGCAACTCTAGTGAGAGCAAGGATATCAAACTGCTGAGAGAGGGTTCTCAACGTGGATGAGCTAGGCCCCTCTATATATACTATATACAGTAGAACCTCAATAAGAGGACACCTCTCTACAAAGGACAGTTTTCATTTGCAAAATTACTATTTTGCAACTCTCTCTAAAGGACACTTTGGCTCAGCAATTAGGTGTCTGCTAAAGGGAGGTTCTACTGTACTATACCTATATAGAGTAGTAGAGATACTGAAAGATAGTGCCGTTTGCTTTGTTTAAAATGACGCTTAAACCCCTTTGATTTCCTATGTGATATTGTTAACACACACCTGTTATCCTTGCTTGTGGCCTCAATTCTAAGAAGTAAATCTGCAATAACACCTCTACTGCTCTCTTATTTCACAAGGTAGCAAGACACCTAATCCAAATGGTTAAATTATACAGTAAAACCTCAATGAATAGACAATCCTGCTGGAGGACTCCTCTCTACAAAGGGTAGATTTCAAGGCTAAAATGAGCGTTTTTTAACTTAATTGTCAACTCTTCAGTAAGGGGACACCTCTTTTTAAAGGGCACTTTGGCTCTACAACTAGGTGTTGTCATCTAGAGAGAGGTAGTTCCACTACCTGGGTCTAAGAACAAGGCAGAAGTTTTGGATGGTTGTTCCTGGTCATTCAGTACTTTGGTCTGAACATTGTAACAGCGAAATGTCACGAACCATTTATCAATTTGGATTTGGTCTTGTTGCCATAGGTCTTTCAGCATAATGTATAGAAATGTGCAATATAGAATGATTTCCCATGTGAGGCCAGACTTTTACATGCAATGTGTGCAATTAGCTAGCCAGTTATGAGAGATTTCTAGGGAGCTCTGGTGTGTTTGCTCACATGTGAGATAGTATCAGAGTGAGAATGTTATGTTTTAAAAAACAAGCCAATGTTCACTGTCAGAGAGGCAACAAATCAGATTAACAGTGCAGCTACCACGTGCAGTAGTCTCAGATAACAGCTGTAGCTTATCTACAGTAAACCTGCGTTGCTGCCAGCTAAATCAACCACTATAGTGACAACACTAGCTAGCTTAGATCTACTCCAATACATTAGATTTACATAGCAATATTTACAGCCAAGAATCCCACAAGGATCCAAATATCAAGTAAATTCTAGGTGCGACAGAATTATTACCCCCCCTCTTCAATACTTTGGTCCTATTGGTAACAATGACATTGCAGGAATGTTGCATGGAATTTACCTATTTGGAATTGTGGAATTCTCATACAAAGTACATACTGTACTCATTGATTTGAAACTCTGCTTACTTAATTGATTCTATCTATGGGCGGCTATCACAGCTCTAACTCTCTCATAGTGACAGCCAAATTTTATTAAAGCTCCATCTATCAGATGTCATACATATATATAAGGGATTAGTGTAACATATCTCTATCATATATATATATATACAGTAGAGCCTCGCTAAAACAAACTCAGGATATAAACCTCATTTTATTTTACAATACAGTGAACTATAGTGAACCAAAGGCTCAGTCTCATTGGAATTGGCTATAGAGGGGTTTTACTATAGGTATACAGTAGAACCTCCTTGAGAGGACACCCACGCCAGAGGATACCTCTCTGTAAAGGACAGTTTTCATTTGCAAAATTACTATTTTTACCATTTTGCAACTCTCAGGTAAGAGGACACCTCTCTGTAAAGGACAGTTTTCATTTGCAAAATTACTATTTTTTCCTTTTTGCAACTCTCCGGTAAGAGGACACCTCTCTATAAAGGACAGTTTTCATTTGCAAAATTACCATTTTTATCTTTTTGCAACTCTCCGGTAAGAGGACACCTCTCCCTAAAGAACACTTTGACTCTGCAATTAGGTGTCCTTTACAGGGAGGTTCTACTGCATCTATTGTCCCCTTCAAAACTTATGATTCCTTTAAAATACCTTCACCAAGAATTTTTCTAAACTGCCTTATAGATATATATATAGCCAATTAAAATATATTACTTGTATGGTAGATTAAATTAGAAAATTTTCTGGGAGGGTTCACCAATGATGAGCCAGGCCCTTCCAATATTCACAGTAAGGTCAGTAGGAAGCTACATAGGAAATCATGCTATATAGTCTCCCATGTCAACTTAGTCCATTTACTAAGTAAGTATACCAGTAACAACAACTCTGTCGGCCCACCATGATACTCTAGATATACAGAACTGTTTTGTCTTGGCTCCCTCACATTGCTTTGAAAGACTGGACAATCCTTTAAAATATATTTTTGATGCAAAGTAATCTATCACAATTAATTTTTTGATTTTTTTCCTTTGTGCTATTGTATAATCACTAAATCCAATACAAGTGGATGCTTTCTTAAACCCAATTTGTCCTTCAAAATTTTTTATTTTTTAAAATTAGTACTCTAAGCTGAGTCTTGTATAAAATATTTAGCGTCCAAATGTATAGTAGAAG